TTGACTTCACATTCCAGGATGTCTGGTTCTAGGTGAGTGATCACACCATCGTGATTATCTGGGTCGTGAAGATCTTTTTTGTACAGTTCTTCTGTGTAATCTTGCCACCTCTTCTTGACATCTTCTGCTTCTGTTAGTTCCCTCCCATTTCTGTGGACCCTAATGCAATATGCTTGTTGTTCTTTTAAGAAGGGGATAACTGGAGCACATGGGCTTCCCTGGGGGCTTAGCAGTAAAGAATCCACTTGCCTATGCAGGAGACTAAGAGACATGGGTTCAACCCATGGGTTGGAAGATCCCCTGGAAAAGGATATGACAACATACGTCAGTATCCTTGCCTGGGAAATCCCACGGACCGAGGAGCCTGGTGGGCTACAGTCCATGTGTGTTAAGGCGCTTCAGTTGTGTTGGACTCTTGGCAACTCTATGGACTTATCCCGCCAGGGTCTTCTGTCCATGGGATTCTCCAGGCAAGAATACTGGGGTGGGTTGCCGTGCCCTACTCCAGGGGATCTTCCTGACCCAGGAATCGAACCCCACATCTCTTCAGTCTCCTGCATTAGAAGGTGGGTTCTTTACCACTAGTGCCACCTGGGAGGCCCTTGGAACAGTAATACCATCACTGTTAACACTGCAATATATTTACAGAATATATATATATTCTAGTCTTTTCCTGTGTGTGCATTCATTTAAAAAGTAGGGTTACACTGAGCATTCAGTTCTGAATTTTGCTTCAGTTAAAATTATGAGGATTTTCCCAACATATTAAATGTGCACAAAACAATTCATAATGACTATATTTCTTTGTATAAACATATCATTTATTAACCAGTTATCATTGGATGTTTGTTATTCTCAGTGATAACAGTGAAAATCATCTCTAAATCTCTGCCCATATTTGTGAATATTTTTATAGATTGAGCAGTGGAATTGCTCAAATGACACATTTTTTACGTATCTTTCCCTGATTCTGTCTGGTAAACTAGCTGACCTAAGACTTAGTTTGTAAAGCTCAAGAAGATTCCAGGCCCCCAGATTTTGTTTACACAAAAATGCACTGTTTCTGAGAATGCTCTTAAACTTGAACTTCCTCACACTCTATTTCAAGTAAAGTTAGTTCCTTAGCAAGAGCTTCAGGACTCTCTGCTTAAAGGCCTGTCCATACCACCGATCAGAACCTGACCACTGCTCTGAAGTTGGGGAAAAGAGTGGGTTACTTCTTTGGGGGTACCTGCCTCTTTTGGAGTTATACCCCACTATAGGAGCAGGGCAGTAGTGGAGACAGTAGCCTCTAATCTTCTCTAGCACAGAGTCTCTGCCCTACCAACAACCTGGGTCAGGACAATCACGTGTCAATATTCCCAGCACGCTGCTCCGAGGCTAAGCACCACCCTGTGAATGGGGAGCAGCTGGAAGAGAACTCCCAATCACTGTGGCCGCAGCACTTGGGACTTGGTCTCTGCAACATGTAGCTGGAAAGATAAGTTCTTGTCACCTGCTCCTCCCAAGAAGCTACCGCAGTGCTGGACTGGGAACTGGGGAAAGCAGGAGCCCTGGGGTCTTGGCTGTACTCACCTGAAATGGAGTTTTTGTCGCAATGAGCTGGGAGAAGGAGTGGGTTATAATTCAAGTTCTACCCACTGTTGCTGTCCTAAGTTCTAGTGGACTTTCTTGCATAAACGTGTCTTCATTTGCTACATGCTCTTGTTACTGAGCCAGGTTCATCTTGCCCAACTTACAGCAGGTGAAATGCTGAGACACTGAGTCGTGTAGCAGGGACAGGGTTTATTCGCATGGCGGTCAAGCGAGATGGATGAAGGAATCGCAAACCCGTCTCCCCAAAGGCAAGGGCGCGGGTGCTCATGGGGTAAGGAGTAAAGAAGCTGGGCAGTCCGAGGTGCGGGGAGAGCGGGAAAGATCATTGGGAAAAGGCGCAGTAACTGTCTGTAACGAAGACAGGTGTAACTAAGCTGCAGGCACCTGTAGTTCAAACGTGTAGGTGCTTAGCAGCATCTGAGGGTGGAGTTTTCAGCCATCTGACAGCAAAAGGTTACAGAGAGGACACTAGAGCATGCCCAGGTGGAGGGCTGGGGGTCCTCCCCAGTCTTAATCAGCTCAGCTCAAACTAGATGCAGCTGACTCCGAGTTTCTGGAAAATAACTTGGGCCAACATCTTAGGCCAAACGCTGCTCAGAGGACATGCAAGTCTTAAAATGAATTTAATTCGTGAAGGCAGATGAAATAAATTTGACTGACCGTTACCCATCGTTTTGCTCTTATGACAATCCAAAGACTTCAAATGGTTGCTTTTTAAATAATTTTCACCAGCTACACTTGTTTCACTGAAGAGCAGGCCACAGGGCTCTTCACTGCCATTTCTTAAGTAGAACCTCCAACATATACTTTATTTATCATTTTGATTTATTGACCCAACGATACTAAAAAGTTTCGAGTCACAGGGCTCCTCAAAAATATTAAAAATCAATGGAAAAAAACCAGCCTGAGATAGCATTATAGGGGTTGTCACAGCCCTCTTTTGGTGCTGAGATGTAGTCATACTCTTCGTGTCCAAAGAAGGGCTCTAAAGTTGGCTAAGTTGAGAGCTGTGTTCTCTCATATTCAGTTCAGTCTCTCAGTTGTGTCCGACTCTTTGCAACCCCATGGACTGCAGCATGCCAGGCCTCCCTGTCCATCACCAGCTCCTGGAGTTTACTCAAACTCATGTCCATTAAGTTGGTGATGCCATCCAACCAAATCATCCTCTGTCATCCCTTCTTCTTCTGCCTTCAATCTTTCCCAGCATCAGGGTTTTTCCAATGAGTCAGTTCTTCACATCAGGTGGCCAAAGTACTGAAGTTTCAGCTTAGGCATCAGTCCTTCCAATGAATATTCATGACTGATTTCCTTTAGGATGGACTGCTTGGATCTTTGCTGCAGTCCAAGGGACTCTCAAGAGTCTCCTCCAATACCACGGTTCAAAAGCATCAATTCTTCAGCGCTCAGCTTTCTTTATAGTCCAACTCTCACATCCATACATGACTACTGGAAAAACCATAGCTTTGACTGTACGGACCTTTGTTAATCTCTCAGCTTGAGTAGGGACAATTTACACAACTTTCTATGGATGTGACCAGAGACACACAGATGGGTACTTCAGTGGATGCAATACAGATGACCACTGAAGACTGATATTCACTGGGTCTTGGTGCTAGAAAACTCCATAGAGACTGGGCTTATTTAAACCCATCTTAAGTTTCTGCCATCTGGCAGAATAGGGGATTGGGGAAAATTGGGTTGCATAAAAGTGACTTTCTTGCACCATGAACATTATGGACTAGGATCTAGATCTGTAAAAGTATAGGCAATTCTTTTGACAAGTTTAGTTGAAGTGCAGGAGCAGATCGAGAAACGGGATGGATAAACTGGAGAGGTTTTGTTTTTTCCTTTTAAGTGAGAATGCTTAAGAACTTATGGGAAGGATTTGATTCAGCAGGAGAGGCTAAGGATACCACAAAACGGAGCCGATTGACAGCATGAGGTTCCTGAGGCTGGTGAGGAGACCAGACTATTTACTATTAGAAAGACAGAACTGAGAACTGGTGTCAATTCAGTTTAGTGTGTTTCCTTTGATGGCTAAAATATGAAGGTACCTGTATCTGATGGCTTCTATTTTTTTCAAGAAGTAGGAGCAAAACTGATCTTCCAAAAAGAAAGGACTGGTTAAAAGTTTGAGGAGAGAAAGTTTGAAGGGTCACTAAAGTGGGCAGAAAGAGCGAGCTGATGAGAAGAAATTCAGATTGCTGGGTAGGCAAGACTATGGGTTCTAGGTGCAGAGGGAACTAACTGATCTGACTTAATTTTCTCCAGCTGTGCTCAGTTACCCTGGAGCAGGAATGGAGAAGGCCATTGATTGGAATCATCCAGGACTGGAGTTTATATGAGAAAATAACTGCTCAAAATCTCCCCATATATTTTTAAAACACACATCTTATATAGCTGTTCCCCAAATTAAACAAATACTTTCTTTTAAATTTTATGATATCTATTTCCCATTACTTTGATAATTGCTTTTATCTGTACTGTGCTAAGTCTCTTCAGTTGTGTACAATTCTTTGCAACCCTCTGAACTGTAGCCCACCAGGTTCCTGGGTCCATGGAAGTCTCTAGGCAAGACTACTGGAGTGGGTTGCCATGCTCTCCTCCAGGGGACTTCCCCAACTCAGGGATCGAACCCTAGTCTCTTATGTCTCCTGCATTGACAGGCAGATTCTTTACCACTAGCGCCACCTGGGAAGTCCTCTTTTTACCTTCGTGGGCTCCTTTCCAGGTTTCCCATTATCTTTTACAAATTAGAGAAACAGTACTGTTTAGTGGTTAAGATGAGACTTTTGGCATCTGTCTGCTAGGGGCAAATCTAGCACTTACTTCCTGTGTGATCTTAGACAAAGCCCGTGTGTGCTTCAGTATTTTCATCTGTAAAATGGGTTGTGTGATAATAACGCCCCTCCCCCACTTAGATGGATGTTTTGAGGATTAAATGAGCTAATGCATGTACTATGCTACATATGACTTGTTATTGCAATTTAAATGAAATACTTGAGCTGGGAGCAGAATAAGATATGAAGAATTATATTCTGGCCTTATGTCTAAGCAATATTTAATACATGCCAATATTGCAAAGCTTCTCTTTCTCCTTTTTCCACAGAGTCATGAGGAAAGGTCTAAGTCTTAAATATTCAGGTCATTCTTTTACCTCTTTTATTCAAGGCACTAATTTTTGTCTCCAAGTATTTACGACTAGACCAGATGGCTCTTGGACTTTATCTACATATCTTTTGCTTCCAAATCCATCTCCTCTCTTTGATAACCATTTCTGAAAATGCTGCACCCTTTCTTCCTCACAGATAAACTAAAGAGTACTGATTATGGCCAATTTTTATACAGCACAAAGTCCTGAATTAGGCTGTATGCCCTCTTAAGGCAGGTAATGTGATTCCTACCCTTTAGTATCCTCAGCACTCCAGGAAGTTGTTCCACATGACATACAAAATAAAACCAGTAGATGGTGGTGATGATCATGGTGCTGGTGATGATGACAGTACCACAACTTCTCTTCCTCAGTGGTTCTTTTCAGGGATCTTTGTGGGGGCAATAGAGAAAAGAGAAGGGAATATGGAGCTTTGAGGTTCAAGTCCTAGTTCCATCACTGACCAGCTGAATAACCTCAAATTTAAAAACAAACATAACGCTGTAAATTGTTCAGTAACATATTAGCAATTTTCTCTCTCCATTCTTACCCACCATTCCTCTTAGAACCACTAACAGAACAATCTCCTTCCCAAGCCATCCCCTTCCTAAAACTTCCTACGCCTGCCTACCAAGAGTTAGGGTGGGAATTCCTTCTCTGCTTACAGTCCTTCATGCCACCACCCTAGAGTGCCGGCTCATGGATTCCCCCCCCTCCCCACTCATGAAGCAGGTTTATCTCATGTTATGTTTATTTTTAAATGCCTTCCTTCAATTCTTCCCCTTCTCCTTATTGCAACATGTTTGCTCCTTCCCCTAAGGTTTCTCTTTTTCCACCTCTATTCATAGTTGTTGAATTCCAATTTTGTAATTGGAAGACTTTATCTTTTTCCTCTAAATATCAGATGACTTCCATTTTCTCACAGTGTGAAAAATACATGGCTGTTTTCTTTTTCTGCCTTTAACAGGATATACCTGTTAAACTTGAGTTCAGCTGCACTGACTTATAGTAAGTGCTAAAGAGGAGAGATGATCTCATTTACTCTGTACTACACTTAGTGTAGGAAGATATATACAGATAATTCATAAACTTCTGGTTGTGTTATGCCTTGAGAAAGGGAAAAACATTAAAACATCTTTAGTTCTGACAAGAATCATATATTTCCATCTTTGATTACAAAATAATGACATATACCCCTCTGTCACACACACAAAATTAAATACTAACAAAGATGTTTAAATACAAGGAAAAAAAGATGGCCATTTCACATTAAAATCTTTAGAGGAGAGCTGATGTTTCGTATCTAGTTTAAAGTACTTATTCAATTAAGGCTGTGAAACACTGAAGAAAAGAAGTAAGATGGAAGAAACGGTGAAAACACAAAAAGCATCTTTCAAAATTCTGAGCAAATGATTCTATGTACAGTGGCATTTAATAGGAGAAATTTCACCCATACAAATTCTGAATCGTGCTTTGAATTTTTTTAAAAAAGCATCTTTGTTTTGCACCTTTCTGAAGGTATTTCCAGTTTGATTAAAGTACCTCTCTGACTTATGCTTAAGTTATGAATACTCTATTACATATAATAATCTCACAGCCATTTTCCTTTCAAATAAAGATCACATTATTTTAGATGTCATGTCTATAAAGTAACTTTTTAAAAAAACAAACATACCCAAACTTCCAAATGTAGGAGAACACGATCTTCTTGGAGAGCCTTATGCTCATTCCAAGAATGCATCCACTTCTCAATATATTTTTTGAATTCCTCTTTTGAATCATTTTCGATTAGTTGAAAGCTACATAGGATAGCCAAGTCGATTACTTCATAGAGTTCTCCTATTATGTATATATGCATTATTCACATGATTCAATCAACTTGATTTCAAATTACATTTTTGGCTGCATCCAAAAATCAAATTTACTTCAAATGCAAAGACTTTCTACCATGAAAATCATTTAAGAATGTGAAAGATTTCTGAGAGTGGCACCTCTAAATCATTAGAAACAAAAGTAGCAGGTTAGAGTAAGGTGAAAGTCTCAAAACTTCCAAGGCAAATATTTGGGGGGGGTGGGGTGGTGGTTGATGTGGCACACTAATTTGTAAATATAATCTCAAAATACTTTAAAAATTATCCACATTTATGTTCACACTTCTGTTCGCCCCTCAAAGGGTTGAATTTTATAGTAATAAACCACCTTCAAAATCCTAAAATGGTTTTAAACGGGATATGAATTTAAAATTTCCCACAAAGATTATGGGGTGGGAGTGGGAAGGAAATGCACCAAAGTTGTAAAGCCAGATAAACATTTCTACTCCTAAGCACCCTAGGCATGTGTCAGAGGTGCAGGTTCTAGAAATCTGAAGTTCCCTTGAATGCTGGTGATTTAGAGGGGCCTTCAAGCAGTTCTTAAGGTCTTCATTCTTTCCCGGAACTCTGTATATGAACAAATACCAGTCTCATTCAATGAGTTTTTTGGTTTGTTTCACAGTGTGATTCCTGTAATATGAGCTTTTCAGTAATTGTGAATTTTATTTTTGTCATTTTGGGCACTGACAGTTCACAATGCTTGGTTGTGTGGTGTAAGATCGTTTTAATTTTTGCATTTTACATTCCTTTTGGCACTTCTGAAGGAAAGGACATTGTCTTGTTATGTTGTTTGGAGGGAAGGGGTAAGCCTTCCCCTGTCTCTTTTTTAAACGCTTGGCTTTATGAAATGCACGATTCTCCCCGATAGTCAATAGAAGTGGGTGGAAATCTGCCTTCATAAACTGTGCATCCCAGCCCTCCTTAGAGGCTGGTATCCCCGGCTCCAGATTGTTTAGCCGCTGCTGTCACAGGATCTGGTGGTCCCTCCCGACAGAAAAGCACAACTGGATTTTTGCGAGCCCACATGGCCATATCCCCTGCCACCCCGCTGGTTGGGTTGGAAGAGGATATCGTGCTGCAGGCCCCCAGGCGGTTGGTATAGCGGTTTCGTAGGGGATTGAGGCTTCCAGCCTGCAGAGCCAGGCCCTGGTTGGGCAGGAGAGCGTCCACGTTCCTAGTCCTGTAACCCTCTTCCCGGTTGCGCCCTAGAAGCATGGAAATGTTGGGGTTGCGAACGGCATAGATGACAGGGTTGATGGCCCCGTTGGCCCAGGTCAGCCAGACGGCCACCACGTTGAGGAGAGAGGGAGACTGCGCGGCCTGGGCCCGCCGGGCGGCGGCCAGCAGCACCAAGAAGCAGTAGGGCCCCCAGCAGCAGATGACGGAGACGATCATGATGAGCACGGTGGTGGCCGTGCGCACGTCGCTGAAGAAGCGCAGCACGCGCGCGTAGGTGGTCAGAGGCCGCACGCGCACGTCCGACAGGCGCACGGTCTTGCAGATGTGGTAATGGCAGAAGCACATGAGTAGGAAGGGCAGCAGGTAACAGGTCACCACCAACCCCACGCTGTAGGCCGCGCCCAGCTGCGCGGGGTCCGGAGACGTCCGGTACAGGCAGCGGTGGAAGCTCTGCGCCGCCGCCGGGGCCTCCCCGGGCGCGAGGAGCAGCTCCCAGGGCATGGAGAAACCCAGGGCCGCCAGCCAGGCGCCCGCCAGCAGCTGTAGCGCGCGGCGCCGCCCGATCTTCTCCCGCGGCGGCCGCACGATGGCGCAGTAGCGGTCCAGGGAGATGAGGGCCATGCTGAGCGTGGACACGATGCCGAAGCACGAGCTGAAGAAGCGGCTGGCCGCGCAGAAGCCGCTCCAGGGCCCCGAGGCGGCGGCGGCGGCAGGCGCCGAGCCCCCCGGCGGCGTGAAGAGGTCCAGGAAGGCGGCGGGCAGGCAGAGCAGCGCCGTGAGCAGATCTGACAGGGACAGGGACAGGATGAAGGCGTTGGTGACAGTGCGGAGCTGCCGGTGCTTCACGATGGCCCCCATCACGGCGCAGTTGCCCAGGCTAGACAGCAGGAAGATGAGCAGGAGGACCAGCGCCTGGGCCGCCACCGCCGCCCCGTGCGACAGCAGCGGCGCCGCCTCGGGTTCCGCCAGCCGCGGCGCCAGTGCTGTCGGCCCCGCTCACGTCGCTCCGGTTCCCCAGCGCCGCGGCGGCCGCGGTGCTGAAGGAAAGCACGGCCGCCGCAGTCGCCGCGGAGGAGGTCCCGCCAGGCGTGCCGGCCGGGGAGGGGGCGCCGGAGTGTGGGCTGCCCGATAAGGCCGTGCTCACTGGCGGGCGGACCGGCGGCGGCGGCGGCTGCTCCTCCATGGGGCCCCGCGGAGGCCGCAGGTCTGCTCATCCCGCACCAGGGGAGGAGGCCGCAAGCCCGAGGTGGCTCGGGGCCGGGCCGAGAGGCCTCTGCCGGGGGTCGCGCTCGGCCGGAGGGGTGACCGTCGCCCGAGACTCGCGGAGCCTTTGACGTGCATTCCAGGCGTTGCCGAGGGAACCGCGTGTTTACGCAGGAGCGCAGGGCGGGCCGTGGGCCGAGAACCCTTGGAAAAGCGTGTCCAGGACATCACCTCTCCCCGAGGTTTCGCGGCCAGGGTGGGTGGGCTTCAGAGAGTGCCAGGTGGAGCTCCTGGGGCCCACTACCCGGCCAGATTAAAACGGGAGTGGCCCTCATACCGATGGCCAAATTCTATAGGGGTTTACTCTCACACTCTGGTTCCACATACATGTTCTAAGAGGTAGGGAGGGGAGAGGGGGCTGGTTGCTTCCTGTGGGTGCTTCTGGCATCTAGAAGTAGGAAAGGAATCTAGAACCTGAAGAGGAAAACAGTCTAAATTCGGAGATCTTAAACATGAGGGAGCAGAAAGACTTAAACCAGGTATTCTCAAACTTGAGCAGACAAGAGTCACCTAGAGCAGGCCAACTCCCAGGCCACAGACCGGTAGGGGTCGCTGGCCTGTTCGAACCAGACTGGACAGCAGGAGGTGAAACCTAAACCATTGCCTCACCCAGCTCTGTCTGAGAAAACTGGCTTCCAGGAAACCGGTCCCTGGTGCCAAAAAAGTTGGGGACTGCTGACCTGGAAGGCTTGTTAAAACACAAGGGACTGGATCCAACTTCAGGGGTTCAGATTCAGTAGGTATGGGGTCCTGTCTGAAAATTTGCATTTCTAACAAGTTACTGGGTGTATGATATTGCTGGTCCAAGGACCAGGCTTTGAGAACCACTGATGTAGTAAGCTTATTAAAATGCAGTCACTGGCTGACTCCCAGGATTACTGAGGATGGGCCCATGTATTGAAATCCTCAATGTGATTCTGATACAGGTGCTCTGAGGAGCCAGGATACAGATCCTGGAGAAGGGATGCCATCTTGTTTTCAAGGGCCTGGCCCTCAGGACCGCTACTGTCTCACATGTGTCAGGGAGGAGGGGAGAGTCACTGCTTCCTTGCCCTGCTGTCAGTCTTTGTCAGTTCTCTGAAAGGTGGTATGTTTTGAGTTTAAGGTGCTGGAGTTGCCACAGATGCAGCTCCAGGTATCTGGAAAGAAGATTTCATGAACAAGAAGGGTCTGCCTGCTCAGGGAAGCTTGCATTTCAAGTTTCTGGGCATGGCATCTTATGGGGGAAAGTGTAATAAACTCTTAGGTTCTCTAAAGCAGTGGTCTGCAAAGTGTGGACCCTGGACCAGTGGCATCGGCATGACCTGGGAACTTGTTAGAAATGCAGATTCTCTGGCCCTACCGCAAATCTACTGAATCTGAGACTCTGCAGATGGGAGCCCAGCCACCAGCCCTGCAAGTGATTCTGATGCAAGTTTGAGAAACACTGATCTAAAGAATGACTAGTATACTTTCAGGCCTCAGTATCAACAATATTAGTGTTTGGCCGCTCATTTGGGTGGGAAAAATATCCTACTGGAAACTTACAATATAAATAAAGTTCATTTAAGGTGCTAAAAGGGCTTCCCTGGTGGCTCCGATGGTAAAGAATCTGCCTTTTATGCAGGAGACTTGGGTTTGATCCCTGGGTTGGGAAGATCCTCTGGAGGAGGACATGGCAACCCACTCCAGTATTCTTGCCTGGAGAATCCCCACGGACAGAGAGGCCTGGTGGGCTACAGTCCATGGGATCGCAAAGAATCGGACACAACTGAGCAACTAAACACAGCACAGCAGGGTGGTAAAATAAGACTCGCTTTCTTGGTCTCAGCATTATTGACATTTGAGCCAGATAATTCTTTATTGTGGAGGCTACTCTATGCATTGTAGGATGTTTAACTGTATCCCTAGTCACTACCCATGAGATGGCAGTAGTGACAACTAAAAATGTCTTCAGACATTGCAAAATGGTGGGGAAGAGGGTGAGGGGGGGCCAACCTCAGCTGAAAACCACTGAACTAAGACAAAAATATATAATAGATTAGTTTTGTTTTTTTTTAAAAACCTTCTCTGTACTAGGTTTTCAGAAACAAGGATCCCAGCCCAAAGAACCTTACAGTTTTAGGCAAACACAAATATATTACAATGTCACAGATGTTTAAACATACAATGACTATAGGAAGAGTCTGGCAACTGGGAGACCAGTTAAGAAAAGGCATTATAATAGCCCAGGAGAGAAATGACAAGAGTCTGAACTAAGGATTTACAGTGAAGGAGGGGAAGAGATTTTAAGGATTAGTATCTGGATTGGGGTCTTTGGATATAAGCAATACAATGAGGTTTCTGTCTCACTTAAGCAAAAACAGAACTGGCTAGAAGGATAGGGGGAGTTCAAAAGGATAGTCTTAACAGCTAACCCCAAGAGCAAGAGAAGTCAGGGCAACTCCACAGGTAGAGATAGCAGAAAGGAACTGAGAGTGATCTCTTTAGGGATCTACAGGAATGAGTCTGCTTCAACCATTTTTCAGACCTTATGTCATTTCTCGTAAGATCCCAGGTCTTGGTGGGGAGAGTCTGACTGGAGTACCCCTTGCCTGGCGGCCTCAGCAAGGCTACATGCTGGGGATGGATAGTTTCCCAAAGGAAAAGGAGTGTTGGTGATAAAAGAAGGGGAAAGGAATGGTGCTGACCAAATCCACAGACATCCACCTCAGAGCATCAGTAGACGGGTCGAAAGAGCACAAACAAGAAGCCGAGGATAGAACCCAAGTTCCTGGCTCCTATTCCCTGGAGCTCTGCACCAAGGGAATAGAGGTTCCTGCTCCAAAATGTACCACACTTGCCTGCCGGAAAGCACCAGCATCCACCATGGATTAAGTAAACTCTGTTGTTCAGTCGCTCAGTCGTGTCTGACTCTTTGTGACCTCATGGACTACAGACACCAGGCTTCCCCGTCCTTTACCATCTCCCGGAGTTTGCTCAAACTCATGTCCATTGAGTCAGTGGTCCATCCAACCATCTCATCCTCTGTCATCCCTTTCTCCTTCTGCTCATTATCAGAGTCTTTACCAATGAGTCGGCTCTTTGCATCACATGGCCAAAGTATTGGAGGTTCAGCTTTAGCATCAGTCCTTCCAGTGAATATTCAGGACAATTTCCTTTAGGATAGACTGGTTTGACCTCCTTGCTGCCCAAGGGACTCTCAAGAGTCTTCTCCAGCATCACAGTTCCAAAGTATCAATTCTTTGGTGCTCAGCCTTTTTCATTGTCCAGCTCTCACATCTGTACATGATTACTGGAAAAACCATAGCTTTGACTACACGGACCTTTGTAAACAGAGTAGTGAATCTGCTTTTTAACATATAAACCTGTGGGTGACCATTAAATCTAGGTTAGATCAAGCATAGCTTCCAATGAGTAATGAAGTCAAAACCAGACTGTAATAGTTGAGTAGCAAATGGAAGATGAAAAAACATACTAATGAGAAGACAGTAAGGAATCTAGAAGCTTGACTACAAAAGGAAGGAAAAAGGGTGACAGACAGCAGGCTGAGGAGAGAAGGTGGACAAGGGGTGTATGTTTCATTTTGTTATGCTGATATTTGGTAATAGCTTAGAGGAAGGAACCAGTGATGGGAAGGAGGTTGCTTGAAAAAGCTTAGTGATAAGGCAGGCCCCTTAGCAAGGATGGGAAGGGAGAGAAGTGAACAGTATTTAGAAGGCAGATCAATAAGGCTTCATGACTGATTAGACACATGGAAGCAAGAGGAATAGCTGTTGATTTCCCTAGTGGTTTTGACTCTGTGGAAGGCATGGTGAAATACAGAAGGAATGAATATTATTGCAAGGGTTTGGCTCTGGTTTGGATTAGAATTTAGGAAGATTTAGGCAGTATTTATTCTTCAATGTTTAGGAAACAGAATATTTTTGTTAAAGTACTATATTGTTAAACAAGTTCTGGCTGTCCTGTCTCAGCAGTGGAGGAAGTGTAGCAGGAAAATACTGGACCTGGAGTCAGCGGAGCTAGAATGACAGCCCCAAATGTGACCTTGTTGTTGCTGTTTAGTTGCTAACTCATGCCCGACTCTCTTGCCACCCAGGCAAGAATACTGGAGTGGGTTGCCACTTCACTCTCCAGGGGATCTTCCTGACCCAGGGATCAAACCCATGTCTCCTGCATTGGAAGGCGGGTTCTTTACCAGGAAGCCACCAGGGAAGCCCCAAATGTGACCTTAAGAGAGTAATTTAACACATCTGGCTTCCATTTCTCTCATATTCATAAATGAGATAAACATAGTGGCATACCAGGGGCGGGCAGAGGGAGTGCTAGCCAGGGTGCAGTTGATCAGATGGTGCACTGTCTGTCAAGAATTTTGAAACAATAGTAAAACCTACTAAACTTCAGTCTGCATTTTTTTTTTTTAAATTAATGTGACTTGTGAAATTCAGACAGAAAACAGTGGTTCTGTTTCTATTTTTTCAAAAGTATAACAGGTGAGGGAGGGGACATATGTATGCCTTTGGCTGATTCATATTGATGTTTGGCAGAAACCAACATTCTGTAAAGCAGTTATCCTTCAATTAAAAAATAAATACTTTTAAAAAAAGGAAAAAATGTTTCTTTGGCAAAAAAAAGCGAAGAAAATCTCTTTAATCTGTAGAAAATTTCTCGATCATATTTAGTGTTTTTTTGGAGGTAAATGAATTGTTTACCACAAATTTTAAGAGGTAATGAGTGGAAAACATTAGTTTTTGTGCATTTAATAAGGAAATCAAGAACACTAACTTTATAGTCTTCATTTTGGGCAGGTAATTCAATCACAGACCTAATAACGGGGTCTGTACAAACTTGCTGGATGACAGAGCCAGTTGAAATGAATTAATTACTTCACTGTCTGTATGCTAAGAAAAAAAATACTACTACTTACCTCAAAAAAAGTTTACTGAATATTAAGAGAATCACATGTTGATTAATTTTTAGCATTTCATTTTATAATGACTGATAATGATCAAATTTTATTTTGACAGACTCACAGACAATTAACTAGCAAGAATGCCAACAGTTAACATTTCTTTCATGTTTTAAATTACCTAGCATGTAGTTGGTAGAGTATGAGATTTGCCCCACTATAGAGATTCACTGATTGACTCTGCCTGTATACCTATACTTAAATAAATGCAATAAACAACCCTTTTATAAGAGCCTTAATGATATATCAAAAGACTGATTCTTGGTCTTCTCTCAAGTTCATGGGGATAGGAGCTGGTCTTTCTAGCGTAGAGGACATCCCAAGAGCAGCTACAACAACTTCCACCCAAGGAACCTGACCACCCCCCTCCTTCCCAGTTTAAGACTGCTAAGTGTTGACTGATATGTCTCCCTTGCATCATGCCTAGAGAGCGGGCATGTACTGTGTGCTCAGTCATGTCTGACTCTTTGCGACCCCATAGTCTGAAGCCCACCAGGCCTCCCTGACTGTGGAATTTTCCAGGCAAGCATACTGGAGTGGATTGCCAGTTCCTTCTCCAGAGAGAGGGCATGATTTTACTCAAAAACTGGAAGACTAAAATAATGAACTTGTAAGACCCATTGCTGTGAGGGCTACAGTTAAAGCTTAGAGCATTTAAAACAAAATATCACAGTGACTACCACAGAGTAATAAGAACTAAGTAAGCAAGAAGAACTGAAGTTTTAATTTTACTTGATGTGTTCACAATTAGAAAAGTATTCTGCATTTTGGATACTTTGTATTCTGTAAGTGATAGTATACCAATATACATGTACAAGCTGAGGAATAATGACTTTATATTTAGCCACAGTATTTTAGAATCTCAGTTGGTTTACGTGTACAATTTGGATATAGTTTTCCACATAATTCAGAGAAAAATAAAAAATGATAACATTTCTAGGAAAAGAAAGCCCTTACAAGCCATAGAAGTTATTTGAGAAGAAATCCATCCCTCAGTGGGTCATCATCTTCTACTATAAAACTTGCGGTACCTGTGTAATGCGCTCGTCCGGATACTTCCACTATGACAGCTTTAAAATCACCACATTTTGCTTCCTGAAAAAAGATGATGAAAGAAAAATATCAAGGTATTGCATGCATAGTTTACCTAGCCTAAAAGTTGTACTCTCAAATTTTATCATTTTAAAGAGAATCCAAGAGTTAAGTGGGCCTCCTCGGTGGCTCAGTGGTCAAGAATCCACCTGCAGTGCAGGAGACATAGGAGGTGTGGGTTCGATCCCTGGGTCGGGAAGATCCCCTGGAGGAGGGCATGGCAACCCACTCCAGCATTCTTGCCTGGAGAATCCCATGGACAGAGGAGCCTGGTGGGCTACAGTTCATAGGCTCGAAAAGAATTGGAGGCAACTGAGCACAGCGATCATGTAGGCAATTGGGAGGCTTTTAAGTAAGTGACTGTATTCGTGTTTTTAGATTCAGTTTAGCTGTAAAGTGGGGAACTAGTTGGGGAAGAGAGAGACTAGAAACCCAGCAACCTGTTAAGAGGTAACTATAATTCATCAATGAAATCTAGAGACAGGAGGGCAGTTTTTAGTGAGAATGCAGAACAAAATACAGAGATGCTTTGGAGGCAGAATTGATAGGCCTGGGGCGGCTGTCCACAGGTGGTAAGAATCAGTTCAGTTCACTTGCTCAGTCGTGTCCGACTCTTTGCGACCCCATGAATCGCAGCATGCCAGGCCTCCCTGTCCATCACAAACTCCCGGAGTTTACTCAAACTCATGCCCAATCCAGCCATCTCATCCTCTGTCACCCCCTTCTCCTCCTGCCCCCAATCCCTCCGAGCATCAGGGTCTTTTCCAATGAGTGAACTCTTTGCATGAGGTGGCCAAAGTATTGGAGTTTCAGCCTCAGCATCAGTCCTTCCAATGAACACCCAGGACTGATCTCCTTTAGGATGG